TGTGTCCCCCCCAGTGTACCTGTTTGGTTTGGTGTGGTGACTGTGAGGTGACAACCACTTCCGGAAAACAGTTTGCAGATTCCTGCTTCTTTCCATTATCAGCAGAAACAGCCTTAACCTATATGGCCATATATAATGTGATTGCACATGGTGCCGGTTACCGGTGGTAATAACATTGTTGCTGTAGCATAAGCTTGTGTTTCCTTCATTGAGATTTACACTTAGATATTTTTTTGGGGAAAAAAAAAGTACAGTGTAATGATATTTCTCAGGGTGGTTGCCATAGTGAGTGGCAAGTAGTATTCAAAGAATCACAGAGTAATTCAGTTGGAAGGGACCTCTGGAGGTCGTCTGGGCCAGCCCTTGCTCAGAGCTGGTCCTGTTAGACCAGGTTGCAGAGGACTGTGTCCAGATGAGCTACAAATGGAGAGCCATAGGCTCTTTGGGCAGCCTGTTCCAGTGTCTGACCACCCTCATGGTGAAAAGCATTTTCCCTTGTGTCTAACTGGAATTTCTGAAGCTTCACCTTGTGTCTGTTGCCTCTTGTTGTGTCACTGTTCCCTTCTGAGTAAAGTCTGATCCCATCTTCCCAGTACCCTCCACTGGACAGCTGAAGGCCGCAATACGATGCCCCTTTAGCCCTCTTGCCCCAAGACTGAACAAAACCTGTGTGGTTCCAATGAAAAACCTTTATTCCTCGTGCCTGTTACAGTCCTGTTCTTTAGTCCTGTCCTGCAGCTGTAGTGGTATGTGGCTTGTTTTATCGGTAAGGGATGTATTGGGTTTTTTTGCTTTGGGAGTGAATGAAGGCTGAATAGTTCAACTGTGTGAGAGCTCGGATCCTAAATGAGGAAACATTGTGGTACAAATAGTTTGCTGTTATGGGCAGGTTGGAATGCCTCTGTTGAAGACTGTGGTTGTTATGTCTTTGGCGGAAAAAATTATTTGCACATTTAAGTGTATCTGATTCTGCCCTCACCATCACAGTTTTTACAGAAATGACTAGTCCCAGGCATCTCAGCTCTGGTATCTTTTTCATCCTCCACAACCTTGACCATGTCTTTAAGCTTATTTAGAGCCATCCTATGCTCCCAGGGGATCTGCAGGCAAACCCATGGTCTTACCCGTCAGACCTTTTGAATTTACTTGTGCTGTAGCAAGCGTGTGAAACCGAGTTGTTAGTCCACATCACCCTGTCCCCGTGTCCTGTAGTGAAGCTGCCAGGCTGCTGCTGGCCACGCTGGAGGAGTGGTTTAGATGGGAACAGGACACATAGCTAATGAATGAGGTACACAAGCCCCAGCAATAGGGCCAAAACCTACTGTACTAGTTAGCCTTCAGATGCTCCATCTTCTGTGTGAGACTTTTTCCTTTGGTGCCACGGCTGGGATCCCCACATGGAAAAAGAGAGGTGAGAAGCACAAATGGGGAACCCTCAGCAATTTTACTGGCTCTGTGTCAGCTCTGTGGAGCCTGCAGTTGTATCTTTTTGCTTCTCCTCCTAAGATGTGTTAGGATGCTGTCAAGTGCCAAAGGTTTGTATTTGCTTTAGCTCTGTCAAAAAAAAAAAAAAAAATTTGGCACAAGTTTCCTGCAAAAATCGTTCTTCAGCTGGCTTTTTTGTTCCCCGTTGCTCATCTGTTATGCCACTGTCCTGCACCCCAGCCTGCTGCTGTGTCTGTGTGTCCCCACCTTGTATGTGGCCCGCAAGCTCCCCGGCGCAGAGCTGGGCTTGGCTTTACAGCTCTGGCGTGGGGGGGCTCCGGTGCCCAGCGGAGGCTCCTTCGCTACCCCAGCACATCCCACAGCCCGGGGGCAGACATGTGGGTCTGGGGCAGCTGTGTCTGCTGTTGCTAAGGCTTAGAGGCAGTTTTTCAGAAGCTGTTTACAGCCCTCTTTCAAGCTCAGGCTCCTAAATGTCCTTTAAAATTTCCCCTTTGGTGTGTTTGTTGTGTATTTAGGAAATAACCTTTAATTTGCCTCAAGGGGACACTTCCAAATTTTCAAATGAACTAGGCAGGGGTTAGGCTGCGGGGCCACCACTCCTCCCAGCTGTGTGTGGCCACCCGAGAGGTTTGGAAACAGCTTCAGCTTTGCACTGCAGCGACACAGCTTCTGTTTACGTGCTCCTTAATGAAAATAAATGAAAATCAGAGGAACCTCAAGCATAGAACTGAACACCTGGGGGCTGTTCTGGATTGCTTGGAGAACAGCCAGCTACCCGTCAGCTGAATTACCCTTTGTGCTGCTGTCGAGTCCCGAATGCACCCAGACTTACTGATTTCAACCAGGTGTCGGGTCATCCTGCTTGCAGCTTTGCAGAGGGGCAGACAGCTAATTGGGAAGCCCAGGCAGATGCTCCTGCTGTTCTGGCCAAGGAGATCCAGCGATGGGTATTTGTTTGCACTGGCTCTAGAACAGCTAATCAGTGGCCTTTTTCACAGCTTTCTCACAAGAAGGTGTGACCTGGGCAATAGGTCTGCCCTATGTTATGGTCACTGTGTCATACAGTGAGGGCTGCCATGCTGCAGCACGGCTGTCATTAACGTACCTGGTCCCACCCTGCCCCGTTCAGCTTGGTCTGCCCAAACCCCTGCAAAGGCCACGCTCCCAACGGATGGGTTCATGCTTCCCACTCCTCCCTCCCTGCTGCCTTTCTTCCTCCACCTCCTTCCCACCACCCTGCCCCGGTGGCCTGCTACCCTACGTTTTCCAGATTTTTTCATGAAGTTTCTACCGGACCAACCACCCACGCACACGTAGCAGTAACGCGCCCAGGATTTAAGGGCGCTTCCCTGCCAAGGCAGAGCAGACCTCACGCGCGCCAGGGCAGAACAGCTATTGTCTGTGTAGTGTTGGCTCTGCAGGAGAGGAAACTGCCTTCCCATGTTACATGCTGGCCTGTGCTCTTGTAAACTAGCACCGTGTGACAGGAGGAACCAAAGCAACGTGCTCGTCATCTTCTCCTTAATGCCGTAACACTTCCCACAAAGCTTACTACCATCCGGAGGAGTTGTTATTTTCACAGTACCTGAACATACCTGTTGTTTCACATCGATGTTTCAGGCAAAGCAACAGAAGCTCTGACGTGTGATGATCAAGAGAATGCATCTACCTAGTGCGTGGTGTCCATTCAAAACTGTCTTCTCTGGTAGGTGGTAGGCTCAAAGTCATTTGAAAAATAAATATTCAGCTGTTTAACTTTTGTCCTGTCCTGTCCTTCAAAAGGGTGGGGATGAAAGGCTAATAAGAAAAGGTTGTTAACCCTTGAACATCATCTACTCCCACGGCTGTCCTACGGTAGATGTCAGTATTGCCAAGTTTGACCTCAGCTGATGCAGTAATTAAGAAAGACATGGTGAAAGAATCATTAGTGTAACAAAACTGACCAAATGTTGTTTGGCAAATGGAACTGGAGATGAGAGAAATCTGTAAGACTTCTACAGCTAAAAGCTTATAGAAAAAGTAGCCTCAACACTGTGAAAAAACAACCTATTTCCCCCTGTCAAAACTACACAATGATGAGAAAACACAGGCAGAACACTTAATGCAAACGTTTATTACTGTAGGTATGTATGTATCTTGGACTAGTTAAAGGAAAGAATGATTTGACCTTGGATCCCCTGCAAAGTCTGTACATGTATTTCCATCAGCACGTGTCCCAAAGGGGCAGGGGATGCCCAGGGGATGCACATGCTTGGCATTTTGGAATGAGAGGGAGAGAAGGAGGAGGGAGAGCCAGCACTGCTTATAGTCTCAAAGCAATGATAGCCTGTACACATGAAGCACACTAGAAAGGCGAGGGAAAGGCAAGGCTGTACCCTGGAGAAATCAGGGGCTCTTAAACCAAAACAGGACCTGCAATTAGGACCCCTCCAGGCCCACTTCCAAACACAGCAGCATGGCAAACATCCAGCTGGGAGTGCTACCACAGCCTCAACCACAGGGACAAGAAGGTGCTCTGGAGGAATTGTTCTCCCCTTGTACTTCAGTACTAGTCTCCACATGTGTTTGCTTGAATACAGCTGCATGTATTATGCTCTTACGCACCAAGCCAGTGTTGGGCCACAGCCCAGCCCTCTTGGATTCACCCTAAAATCTTGGCTGCTGAAGACTGATGGATACCTGGGCATACCAGCCTCAGATTTTAAAATAAAACTTCTAGCCTTTCTGTTTGCCATGGCTGTTAGCATGACCTCAGCATAACTATTGTCAGAACACCATTTGTTCAAGTCCACAGAGCGCCTCTAATGATAACTGAAGAGATACGAAGGATTTTATTCATCTTCGCAGCATTTTTAATTCCGAGACACTATCTGAGCAACACTACTCATCAAAGAATGAGATGTGGCAGAAAAGCACAGGGCTGCTCACTCAGCTTTACTCCCTTTGCAAAAGTAAATAATCCAAAGTGTATTACTGTGCCTGCACTTCTCTGGACAATTTGGGAGTGGCTGGCCACTGCTGTTGTCCTCATAAAGAGACAGAAGAGCCTCATCTCACTCTCTGTGAGAAAATCCCTCTTTCCTTGTCAGTCTGAGCTGAAAAATTGTACAGGAAAAGTACAATCACTGCCAGGGTGCAGGACACTTGGTGATTTTTGCAGGTTGCAGTTTGAGATCTGCATCCTATGGAGGTGTGCAGGTTGTCACTGATGTGACCTCTCTGCAGCTCTTCCACAGCTTATGCTAGGCAAGGTCACCTAACTGTACATGCCTCAGTTTCCTTGTGAAATGGGGTTAAACATTAAAAAGCAAAAGACAAGAGTATTTCTTAAGATTTTATACATATCTAAAACCTGGAACTTTTAAAGGTATAAATTACTCAACTGATATATCAAGAAGCACTGAGGGGATGGGAAGTCAACGGCAACAAACCACTTTAACGCAGTGTCTCCACACTCTGCTCAGACAGGTGCTTCACTGAAAGAGGTGCAGGCTCTTCATATGCTTGGTGTATCTGGCAATGCTTGGCAAAACGTTAGCAAACAGAGATACTGTTTAGAAATCTTCATCATCGAAGGTCTCGGTGCACCTCAGCATCACAGTGTCATCATCGAACTGAAGATCTTCTTCCTGAAAGCCCCCCCAAAGCCAAGCAGGGTTAAAAACTACAGGAGTTGATTGTGTTTCAAATATACATCATTTGGACAGGTTTTACTGACTGTGGTAGCAAGCAGGTCACATAATGGGCTCTGAAGATATGAGAGCTTCCTTGAGCCCTTAACTTCTACTGACTTCAGGCTTTGCTGCTCTTTTAGCAACAGAAGGAAATGGGTCTTCTCTTTCGCTAACTTACAGAGAATAAGCAGCTCTTGAGAAATCAAAGTCTAGGAGATGAAAGTGTTCATGCCTGCCATCCATCTAGTCCACTTTCTGCATTGAGGCAAGACTCTTTAGGGCAAGACTGCTTTTAAAAATAGGTGCTGTTTAAAAAATATATAGCTTAAGGAGCACCAAATCTCACTTGTCAAGTGACTCATCTAAAATCTGTAATTTTAAAAGAAAGTATGTCTTTGAAGATGCAAAGGTGCTCAGTGCTATTTAGAAAAAACCCCACTGACTTTCACTTAGATATTGTAAAACCTTTGGACCTCAGTCTAAATTAATTCTTTACTGCCTTTGCTGCTAAGCATCTCTTATGATGTGGCCTTAAGACAACAGCTCTTGAAAAATGACAAGATTGCTTAACTAATCTCATGCTCAGAAATATTTCTCTACCATGTAGCTTCCATGCTCCTGTTCTCATTTTTGTATCACTGCCCTTTTAAGAGCACTCCCTTTTCTTGTCCAAATGATTTCCTCCCTCCTCTTGTGTGGGTCTTTCTCAAGCATTTCATACCAGTGGGGTGCATGCCTTGGCAGCCTTCAGAGCCAGGGCTCTCAAGGGCATTCAGTGGATCTGTGACTATGCAACGGTGAATATACACAATCCAACAACAGTACTTTGTACCTGGACAGTTAACCAGAAATCGTGTAACAGCACTGGCATGTAATGACCAGCAATAAAACCCGTCACCTCATCAGGTCTGTAGATGAAAGTAGACCATACGCTGCCTTTTATATTTCAGTTGGGTGCACATGGCATGCCTCACCTTGGTACTGTACCTGCTACCCACCTCTGTATCTTCTACAAGGTGTGTGCATAGTGCACCAGGACATCACTTTATCCTTGGGATAATTTATCCCAGCGCTGCCCAAACTCCTGGGCTAGTGTAGCACCGGCACAGGTGCTACATCAAGGGAAGGGGAAAGGTCTGTAGGGGTTCGGTCACGCCACAAGGTAAGCAGGAAGGGCTCCTTTCCCTGTCAAGTCCAGGAGTCTCTGATGCTCTCAGTAGCCCAATTTCTGGGGTAAGGTGTGTAGCCTATATTGAGCTCTCTGCTGCTGCTGCCTGAGTTAGTGTGTTTCAAGCTACCTGGAACATCTCCTAGCCCCGCTCTGCGATGACTTCCATAACTGCCTCAATCTGTTTGCTTTGAGATGGAGCTCAATTTCTGCTCTCAAAACAAAAAATTCTTGTCAGTTGTATTTTTTTTTTTTGCCTCTTGGCAGGACTCTTTAGATGTGCTGTACTGCAGTTATCTAAATCAAAACAGATTGCGACCTTCACATGATCAGTACTCTCTAGCCTGGGTGATTTCTGCTTAAACTCCCTTTTTATTGTCTTATCACAGACAACTCAAAGTTCCTGCATAAAAGAAGTGCATGCAGCCTTTTATTTCCTTTTGGATCTAGAGACCTCAGTCAACTGCCCATTTGCACTTCAGCTTCTTTTGCTGCCTGTCTTCCCATCATTCTCATTCTCCTCATCTTATTTCAAATGTTCTTCTTTAAAGATCGAAAGAGGCACTACCTCTTCTCATACCACCTCATCTGGGAGCTATGAGATGGACTTGGGCTCACATATAACAATGGAGCACCAAGCAGAAGGACAAAATGGGACCACCTAATGCTGCCAGGCATGACGTTCACAAAAGAAATTTTAAACTGGAAAATACTCTATCTTGCCTAAAGCTTTTCTTTCTTTTCTAGGTGTGCTCAGTTCATGGTCCTTTACATAAATACAGGAAGAGCTCTGCTCTTATGAAGCATATAGCTATTCACAGACCAAAGGGCTGTGTAGATCAGTGCCTGGACTCTGACAACAGCCAGGAGTGGATGTTTGAACAAAAAGTGCAAGAATCGTGCATGCAGTGTGCTCTGTTCCACAATATATGTTCCCACGTTATGGCAAACTGTGCTGTGAGGACATTCTAAGCTGGAAATTGTATCTGGACCTTCAGATTTAGTGATTGTCAATGGACTGATGTCCCAGGAGCTAAACCTGGTAATCTGCACGTGCAAGTATTTTTTAATATGTTGTTTGTTCATTTCATTGAGTGCTTTCTAGGTCTTCTGGTGTTAGACACAAGGAATAATCATTATATGTACCAAATCCACACCATCTCGGATCAAAATTCTCTCATGGTACCCCTCAGTCTTTTTTGTGGAAGAGTCCTACTCTAGCAGCTCCTGTTCAATGCCTTTTGCTGTGCTGGCTGCCATTCTCTGCACCTCCTCCAGTGCTACCATCTCCTTGAGATGGGGGAACCAAATAGCATGCAGCAGTCACTATGTGATAGATTCAGCTAGTGGTGCAACCCTAGTTTCTGCTTTGTTTTCTGTCCCAATTACCCCTCATCACAGCCTATTTCCTTCAAAGGAGCATCTGCTCAAGTAACAGAGGCTGGGTGGAAGCTAGGTGATAGAAAATAGCAAAACAGTGGCTACTGTGGAGGTACAATTGATTCTGAGCCCAAACAAGCATGCTCTGGCTGAGGAGTATCTCCTTTTCGATCCTCCACCCACGTATAAGCTCTGAGCCGCCTCCTTAGCAGGAGGGCAAGAAGGGGAGGAAGGACACTACAAACACAATGACTTCTGGCTCAGCAAACTTGCAACAGTAGGCTAAGTTTAAGAGGCAGCTCAGCAGCTGTTTATCAGCTCTTTCAAGAACATGAATACCCTACTCCTAAGGCCTGCCAGCCTTAGGGCTCAGGGTAGGGAACCTGGCACCCAGACAAGCAGAAGGTGATCCTACTGAGCTCAGAATGGAGCAGCTGGGTGTTAATGGAGAACTGTGAAGTGAGCTTTGCCTGCCCAGATGAGATCACTCAAGCTTTTCCACAAGGAACTTTCATGCAAACAATTAAAAAAAAAATTAAATTCCTCATGTCATTTGCCATTTTGAATAATATTCTAAGCAATAACAACCCCTCACACTTTGCCTCTTACAAAGGCAATCCTACTGACCTTTTGGAATGATACATCAGAAGTGATGAACCCCAAGTTCTTATTAGTAACGATTCCAGACAATATGATCAGAAGCACAGAAAACAGAAATCCCTTTCTGACAATGACAGAAATAAACTGCTCCTTCTATAAGGAACCCTTTGGCAAAGCTTACCTGGCAAAACTGGGTATTAGCAAAGAAGAGGCTTTTTAGGAAGTCAGTGATCTGCAGATAGAGTCTGTGGTGTTCCTCTGGATTTTCAGAAGTGCAGCTTGCAAATGCTGAACTGAAAATGGAACCAGATACTATATGTAATTTCCTGTTTCTTCAGTTCTCCTCCTACTTACTTTATTTCCTCCACATTTTACTTATAAATTAAAAAAAGATTCAAATTGTTTTCAAGATGATTCTGATATTAAAGACAATAGCCAAGCAAGACAGGGAGGAGTGGAGGTGGACATATTGACGAGATATTGTCTAACAAATGCAAGGAAGATATGCAAGAACGGAGAACAGCGATACAAGAAACCAGTATCACAACGAAGAGATCCACTGATACATGCCAGCTATAGTAACACTGTTTTGGGGGAAAAGTAGATATCCATTATAACAGAGAGCAACAATGGTTATTTGGTAGTGTATTTTGTAGGGTTGTTCAGAGAACAGCTTTGACTTCTTTTTGAAGTTTTTGAGTGAATGCAGTATTGTGGTCATGAAATGACATATTAGCTATCATTGGCAGGTTTGTACTCAGGTAACAGGTAACTTTGGCAAAAAGATATTAATTTTGGACCTCACCTCTATATTCTCCCTGGGATTTTACAAAGTTCTGCCATCACGCCTCTGTCCAGAATTACAAGGCACAGAGTGATAGGGAGGAAAGGGAACACGATAAATACTGAAATACTAATCTATTTGGGACCTAGAACAGATTGCAAAGATGATGGCAATACATTGCAATATTAAGGAATACTTAATCTTATTTTAAAAGCAAACAGCAATTGTGACCTAGTAAATGTTACTTAATGGGTACATTATGTTTTAAGCTTTATTATGTATTCAAGTATATTCTGATCAACAGCCAAAACAATCTTATTTCCATTCATTCTGTTCTGCAAGTGCAAGGTGGTATGGTAGTGAAACACAGAAAGAGATTCACACTAAAGAACTCTCTAAATGTGGAAAAATAAGTAGAAAATGGGATTTAAAAAAACAGATTAAAAACACTATTTGCAAATACAAACAATCCTAATGAAGACTAAGTAGCAAGAATGCATAAAAGATGAGTCATAATGTGATTTTCCTCTTGAGGAAAGCAACCCTTTTCTTTCTTTGGTCTACTGGGAAAAATCAAAGGCAATGCCAGCTTTGTATCTGACGTTCTCTTTCAGGTAACTCATCTGACCTGCAGAGGAAAGAAATGTTATTATTTAATAGGTCAGGTCTTGTGCTTCTTTGATGTTACTGTTCAGGTCAACCACACTTGAGCTTGATCACCTCCATGTGACTGAATTAGGGTACTTGAAAAAGGTGAGGCAATGTTAAAAAATGATCATTTTTGTCTCATTAAATGACAGTACAGTTTATGATTAGCTGACTTATCATGGGAATGCCTTATGGTCCTCATAGACCTGGTAAGTGAGAGAAAGAAAAGGAAGACATTACAACTATTGTAATTTGAAAAGATGGAAAGCTATGCAGAGTGGTGAAGAAAATCAGAAGGACCCCAGTTACCCTGAAGTGACGGGGTGCTCTTAATAAGTGATTCTTACTGATTCTGCTGTAAATGCCTATTAATCATTTCACTTTTGCACCTTAAGAGACAGTATTATTGTGAGCAGAATTGCTAGAGGCTGCTATTTACTAAAAATTAGGCAGAAAAAAGGAAGCTAGGCTATTGCCTTACTACTCCACTGCAAACTTGCCGTGGAGTATTGACAGTGGGCTATTAACTTACTCGGTCTAGCAAAAGGGGTGAGTTTGTAATTTACCTCTGACTAGACATTCCCTGAGTCTCGTCTCTGTCAAGGAAACCAGCAGTAACATCAAACGCATCTTCAAACATTACCTATCAGAGAAAACGCCTCAGATGTCAACATACTCAGTCACCTAAAAGTTTTATCTAGGGCATAATTTTTAATAACGAAGTCTTTAAAAGCATTATAGTCTTTCTTTCAATTTAACAGGTATGTTCATGGCTAGAGTAAACCAAGAGCGTTTTGTGGAGACGGGAATAATATGGAATAACTGTATTTCATGACTAGGAACTCAAGGTTAATCCATTCCCTTAGGTCTGTTCCTCAACCTCTAGGAATTAGACTTAACATGACATCTCCCAAAAAATCAATTAAAAGCATTAATTTTATCAGCGCTTTAGAGACTTGACTGTGGGCTGCTGGTTATCGCTAGAGATCTCAGCTGTACCAGCCAGTCTCCCCACATCTGATTCCAGCATGCGACCTGGCTTACGAAGGAGTTAGGATGCTCCCTGTGACAGACTGATAAGCTCATTAGTTCATTCAGCCATAATGCAGTTCACACATTTTCTGTGCCAGAAAGTACTGTACATGGAACATCCCCACGACATTTCCTAAGGAGGTCAGGAATATGAGTTGTGTCCTGACACTCGAAAAGAACTTGTCAATGCAATTACTTACATGCTAAAGGTGGATACCCATCCCTCCCTTGCACCTAATAAAATTACACACATCTTGGAGCAACTAGTTGCTTAATCAGTGCTCCAGGAACAGTTAACATAAAGTTGGCTGCTATTTCACCTCTTTTTTAACAAATGCCCTGGTCTACTCAGTTACTGACTTCTTGGCTCTGCAGAGGTGCATGGCACAGGCAGTCATTAGCCTTGTACCACTGGAACTGGTCTACAAACACTTTCTCTTCACTACCAAGTGTTTTGATGAAAAAACCCACTCAACCCAAACATGGCAGGCTTTGGCAAACCGGGTATTCCTTCTGGATTTAGCTCATCTGCGCTCCTTGGAGAGTTTGCAGAGCACAGTAACTGTATAATTCTTGTTCTAGCTCACTCCCCCTGGAGCAAGTTAGAGCATATTTAACTGTAACTCAGCACAGAAACTCTACAGGTCAGTGGAGACTAGCAGGATTACCCCCACTGCACTCCTATAGTTTGCTATGTATCTTACCAAGAGAGAATTTGGTGCAGACATTTAGTCAAAGACTACTGATTGTCTCCACTTAGGCATTCAAGTGGTCTTGGGAAAGCTTAATTACAACTACTGTATGTTTCGAATTAAAAGCTGCAGAGCCAATTAGCAACTGAAGACCTGGAGTTTCAGAGGCAGATGATGTGTGTTACTGAGCACTTACTTCCTCTGGTGTGGAGACTGAGGAACTACTGGCTTCCTCACCGTTACCTTGGCTCTCCCTCACGCTACCTTCAGTGCACGCAGGCTCTTGGCAAGCAGCCTTAGGATTCATGAGGAAATCTCTCTGGCTACAGTACTGCAAGATGCTGCCTCTCCTTTCTTCAGAAAGTTCTTGCCAGAGGTGGGAAATAGCTGTGGAGACCTCAGGAAGAGGCACCTCCTCAGTGCAAACAATTCCATGCTCTCTCAGCAAGTCCACTGTGTGTGTATAAAAATACAGGTATCTGTAATGAAAGGGAGCATCTCTTAAGAGCAGACTAGTGAGGCAGCCATCTACTGTAAATCAGCAGGAGTCTGGGGAGTAGCTCTGATTCATAAATAGTTCACTGACTCTCCCCTCTAAGACTTCATACAATTACTGAGGGTTGCCCAATGCTGTTTGAAGATTTTAGCAACTCTATTCTGCCAAGATTTCATCTGCAAAAGGCAGGCTCCAGCCACAGCCTCAGCAGGACTGCCTCACCACAGCAGCTCCAAGCGCTGCAGGCTCTAGTTGTTGCACAGGCAAACCTCATTCTGGTATTTAATAAATTTTCAGTTACTTGCCTTTGTATCCTGAGGCTTTTACACTGTTAGTCACTCTTTATACTTTTACTGGCATTGCACTACACTTAAAAGCCTTGGCTGAGGTCATATCCTGATGTATTAGGTACTATACATGCAGGTAGAAAGAGACTACCCCAGGCCTGGATGCTCTGACTTAAATAAGCATGGGAGCCCAATTTCCTCCGTTTTACATTTGAGGAAATGCATCCCTAAGACTGACTTCAATGCAGTCTGTAGTGAAACTGGTAACGGAACACAAGAGTCGCAATTTTAACCTGATGACTAAATCTCAGAATGGGCCCACTTCTGTTAGCACTGTGTGGCACGATAAACCAGGGATAATAATGTCTACTTTGGAAATCAGCACTGAAGGTTATTCTATGTTAATTAAACGCTTAGAGCTTCTCAGATGAAAATAAGATCAAAAAGCAGTACAAACCAAGAGTTCTATAAACAGCAGTCGTTGTTACTAAGTTTGGGCTCAAAATGATCCCTTGGAAGATGTCCCAAATGAGCACATTTCCTGATTAACTGAATAGTACTGCATGAGGAAGTAACTCAAAAGACTTGAGTCTTTTCTTTTTTTTTTTTTTTTTTAATATTTGTTCCAGAAAACCAATATGGAAAATCTTAAGATAATTCTGCATGCAAACATAAACATGGTTAAACTCCAGTTTCCATACTCTGGAGTATTTTCCACTACTGCTGAAGACAAAATACTGGAAGGTGAGTAAGTATTCTCATGTAAGGTACTGTGCTCACCTACAATTCTGGATGTCCAGCTCCAAACAAAGGATCTAGAGTTTCTCAAACAGAGGAATATGAATCACCATTTAGACTGCTTTGCTAAAGAAATTAAACTTGAACCACGACTCAACCATTTCCTTCCCAGCTGGAAGAAGACAACCACATTTTCACTGGATAGAGTACTGTGTAGTCCTGCCACTGTAGCTCCTGCTGCTGGACATGTTAAAAAAGTCTGTCCATTGAAGCTTGAAGCATTTCTGATGTGCCTAAATAATGCAATTAGACGATCACCAAAAGTCTGTTCTTTTCTTTGCTGGAGTCCCTATTGTTTTATGCGTGTTATAAAAGATCATTTTTTTGAGGAGAATTAGCTATCAACTAACCGCAGTCTGCCATAAGACTGTAGGATAAGTGCCAGAGCCCATACACAGGACAGGCCCTGGTCTACCCTGTCAGTGAAGAAGGGAAAAGTCAGGTGTTTACAGCTCTGTCGTGCAGTCTTTGATGAAGTAGTGTTTACTTCCTCCAGAAAAATCTTGATTCAGCACATTTCAAGGTTTTGTAAATGATACCTCCGAGTCTCCCAGGAGCAGAAGCAGGAACAGTAGCAGGAGGCTGGTGCCATCTGCTGGCACAGCTGCAGTCTCATTTTGACGAAAAACTCGGTAATTCAAGGGAATTTTATAAATAAACACCATTTCAAAGCAAAAGAGAAGAAGGAACCTCAGAAGTTTTTGTTTATGGCGGTGACGCTGTGGAAGAAGATGCCAGCTGCAGCTGTGGATTCTCCTGCACTGCATATTCTTAACTCTGGAACGGTTAGGGTAAAATAGACTCTGCTTGATGGCACAGGATAGATTAGACATCCATCTGTTTCTCAAATCTTCACAATGAAATGATCATTTATCCTTTTGAAAAAGCATCCATGACCCCTAAGTACCTCCGATAGTGCTGTTTGACAGCAAGGGGAAGAATGTGATGAATAATGTACTCAGTCTTAAGATATCAATAACTTTGAAAAGAACCCACCAGTAATCTTACCATTACAATCCCAGATTAAAATACATGGACCACTGACATAAGGACAATGGTCTTGGATTTTTAGATCCTGCACGAGGCACTCAGGAGGTGATCCTAAAAGGGGTTACAGACTCACACCCACTAGCTATAAGTGTAACACATGTAAGTGTTTAGGTTCTCTTCCTCCCTCCCCGTTTTGCAGACATTTTGAGGAATGCTTTCTGATATCTTCCAGACCAGCACTATTCTGCAGCCTGCAGGCTGAGGACTATATGATCTTCTCGGGTCGCATCCAGCCTTACCCTGCTCTGATCCCACAAAAAAAATACTCCAAGCTGCCAGGAGCTAAGGATCTATTTCTGGAAAGGGCAACAGTGTTCAAGTTCCTCATAACAATGCCATCAGATGCAGGATGAACATCACTGTGGGGGAAAGCATCTGCCTACCTCTGGTTCCTGCACCTCCCCAGAACACATACATCTAGACTCTTGAAACTTCATCCGGTGCAGCAATTCCTACATTCCTAAAATCTAGCCCCATTGCAGGGATACAACTTGATAATGGTACTAATACCATAAACACACAGGGGCATGCACCTACATACATCATTCTGGATGAATAACCTCCTATTCCACCTTAGCTTGCCTCTTAAACCACTTCTGTTAGCAAGTATGTTGCATCTTACTCTGCAAGGCATTTGGCCTGCTGTAAAGCATGGCCACACAGGGACTAACACACTTGAACGAATTTTTTTTCTCTTTCTTGAAGATGGGTGGAAAATCCTCAGGGATTTCCCAAGGTCTGCAGAGCTGGGTGGTGCTACGATGGTGGGAGTCCATTCACATGCAAATTGCAGGTAAGGGACTTGGGAGATACTCAGCTTCAGCACCAGCAGGGCCAAAGTTGCTGGCACAAGGCTTCTGCAAGGCAGATGCAGGCTCCAGCAGGGCTCTACAAACAACAGCAACTGGATGCATGGTGTTAATGCAAACAAATTAAAAAACTGAAGGCAACATTGGGTGCACCCACCGTTCAAACTCCACCAGATCCAGGGATAAAGTGTGTGGAGACTGGACAAATTCTGGCTTCCCATTCTCCTCCATTGTTTGTTTTTCATGTTCTTGCATCAAACACCAGATGGTAGAGTAACTCTCACTCACAGCTTCCGAGGCTGATGCAGTGCTAGAAAGAATACACAGGGGAAAAAGCCACATGAACAACTTCTTAACTGGATTAATAAGGCCCTTGTCGTGGTCACTCCAGAGACCAGGGCCATTATTCCCAAGCCAGCCTTCTCCTCCTCCTTTTGCTTTGCAGGTGAATGAGAAGTCTTTGATGTATATATAATATATATATACATATTTTATAACAAGCACTGACTGGAAATGAGACCAACAACGTGCCTAGAGTGTTCAACTCTTTTCCTCAGGATGAAAGGCCTCTGCTTGGAAATTCAGTAACAAAGAGGTTCAGAGATGCTGAGATGAAAGCAAGTGCAAAGTATTATCATCTTTCCTTGATTGGTATAAGCCCTTACCTGTGACTGCTGAAGTGCCTCTTGACATATTCCTCCCTGACTTCCTCCAAGCTGGACAGGTTCCCATCCTCCAGACTGAAGGGCTCTGTTGTCAACAGAAAGGTTACTGTCACATCAGTGGCACTTTTGGCTTCCCCCTCACCCTCAGCCCCAGTAAAACAGAATAATTTCAACAACTGGTTCTTCACGAGCCAGAGCTTTTCATTAGGCAAAAATTATATGAAAGGAGAAACTTCTGCCTCTTCTACAATGTAATTAGCATTATTGGGAATTTATGATCATTGAGGAATTTAGAATCAATGCCTTCTTCCTAATATTGGTCTGACAGAACTGATGGTGAAAACCAACAAATCAAAGTCCAGGCAAGCACTAGTCAATACAGTATTTTGTGATTACCATATAATGAGCAAATTGCATGTAAAAACCCCTGACGACGAACCTGTGATTCACAAGTGGTATGAGTTGTACATATACGCAAGTGAATAAAAGGGGAAGTTTCCCTCCAAACTCTCCTCAACCAGCCTCACTGCTTGCAATCCCTTCAATTTTGCTCTGTCAAACTATTCCTTCTACCTATGACTGATTTTTATGGGTTATCCAAGGGTGTGGGTTCAGAGGAGATTGTTCATTTTAAGCACTAGGACTTGGGACTTTTAATTGATGCAAATTATTTGAGGTGCAAGTTGCATGAATAGCAATGTTTTTTTCTAGCTAACAGTAATCTGAGTAAATTCAGTAAATTTGTAAATTTAAAGTAAACTTGAAGGAACATAAAAATATGTCCGAAGTCTCTACCCCATCAGCCTCTAGTCCTACTTGCTGCCACTGGAGGCAGTGGCCAGCATCAGTGAACAGAAGGCACTTGGCGAGGGCACGAAGCCCTGCAGCAGGAGCTGCCTCAACTGCTGACAGCACATGCTAGACCAGCGTTACACACGGTGTCGCAGGTGGTATTGGAGGCATTGCATGAAGACGACCCGCCAATCTGAAAGAAAACAAAACTGCAGCATCTCTCTTACCCGTTTCTATTGGAGTGAATTCTTAACTAGAGGCTTCCATTTCCTAAACTAGGAACTCCTCAACAGCTCCTCTGTCCTTCTCCTTGACCTCACACCAAAGCCTGCTGTTCTGAAGTTTAGGCTCTGGCTGTGTTTGACTCGCAACGCTGAGTGCTCGTACATGGCTGTGGCTCACACTGCGCCACGCCGCTGCGGCCGGGAGGAGCACAGTGGGAGCCTAAGCTTGCAGCCTGGGGACCCACACCAGCCCCACACCTGCTGGGGATGAACTGGCAGCAGGATGACAAGGGCACTCTGCCTAAACTGCCTGCTGCCATGGGATAGCAGGAATTACTTGTTTCCTTCCTTCACCTAGGCTGGGAAGAGGGTAGGAACAACTGAGAGTCAGAGGGGGATTTCTGAGATGCAGTGCTGAATGGGTCGACAGATCTTTGTGCTATCCCTTGCTATCTGCTACAACTAAAGGCACAGTGGGCTCTAACGCTTTAATGGGCTCACCCGCATACCTATCTGTCTCTATTTAACAAATAAAAAATAAGTCCAGGCACTCTGTCCAAGGCAAATACTTGCATACAGTACCTTTCATCTTCAGCAAAGAACTCAAGGTTTGCTCCAGCTTCTGGATAGATTTCTTAGTCTTACGCAAAACCTGATAGTGAACATAAGAAGAAATCAGAACTGATTGCTCTCTGCTCTGATGAGATTAATGTTTTAAAATTCCCTGGTTGTTTTCTTCACTTTTCTTTCATTTTGACCTTCCATTATCTTGATGTTTCTGTGAAAACAACTGTGTTGTTTCATCAGCTACCCTTATCCATATGAAAAGGGGAAAGAACTAATACCAAAGCAAACTTAAATATAGAATATAAATATTTGGATATATACTATGCAATACATACACATATCACGCAGTCACATAGACATTGACTACTTAACTCTGATCTTCTTTCATCAGCAACTGGTCTTGTTTGGATCATTCTTTTCTTGGACCATGTCCAGAAATACCATGTGAAGTCTTGTTGGATGTCTACCAACTTTAGGCATAAGACTCTACTAATCATTTCCCAGGAGAATTTTGCTAGGAAAAGCCTTTGGCACATTCTACTCTCAGCTACACGGATGTAAACAGGAATAACTTCAGCACTGCACATCATTCCTTCATCATTTATAGAAAGCATAACTGAGAACATATGGCAAATGCATTTAAACATTCACATCTCAAAAATATATTTCAAGATTTATGTGGTCGGTGAGACCATCCACAGTCACCTTAAACAGGATGACTACCTTGCAGAGCTTTCACACTGGCTATTTTAGCCAGACACGAAGCACTAAGATTACAAGTGAACTTCTGTATTTAGGCTCTTGAAGATATTGAACTTCCTTGGCCCCAAAAAGTCACACAAGGGGCACATGATACTATGAAAAAGCAATTTTAAGAATTGCTATGTGAAGATAGTCCCCTTAGACTAGACAAAACACCTATCTGTTTAGTCTTGGCTTCTGAGATCATGGTGACTTCAGCTTAACTTGCATCTTGTTCAGAACATGGCAAACTAAACTCTTGCCTCAAAACGCATGAGAGGTAAGAGGCTCAGCAGGTACAAGCCCCAGATAGCAGTATTTTGCATGTTCAGAGCCTCAAAGCCCCTTACAAGGACAATTCCAGTCCTAAACAGTTACTAGCCTCTCCATTTTACAAACTGGAAAACTGAAAGTAATCAATCGAAGTAAACGAACTGGTGGCAGAGTTGAGGATGAAAAGACTCCTGATGTTTATTCCTCTGCCTTGAGCATGGTAATATCCATCTTTTCAGTAGCATTTTGGGTCAATTTCATCTTTATAAACAATTCTGGTTTGATTAAATAGTTTCTTAGTTTAGTAGAGACCAATAAACAGTATCAGTGGTTGTTTTTTTTCCTAACATTTTTCCAGAGTGTCTTGAAGACAGAGTAGGGTGCACCTCATAACGCTGAATGAATTACTCCCTCCGCTATAACGTCTTCTGACCTTAAACTATTCTGATTTCATAGCAAAATGCTGTGAAATCAAGGTAACTTCATCATGGGATCCCTTGCTTTGTTTCCAAAACACCACAAAGAAGCTGCAAAAACCCCGTAAGAAAAGTGCAGATAAAGCACATGATAAACCCATGACCCAGAGATTACAAAGTGAGCAACTTGCTCATGCTGAGCTGGCAGCTTTAAAATACAAGGGATCCAGGAAAGCTGCACACAGTGAAGTTACACACACACTGGGCATCCATAAAGATACAGTGGTCATCCTAATACACCTGGTTAAATTTAAACATAACCATGTATAACAGCAATATGTAAATACAGTCGCTGCTCCGCACCTTTGTGGCTGAGTTGTCTGACTGGGATGAAACAGCTTCCTGCAAGCTGCTGAAGTGTCTTGCCAGTGTAGTCCGGTGGTGTGCCTGCGGCAAATGCCTCTTTGCCATGTGGAGTTCTACCTCTTGCAGGTGTGTCAGGGGATTGGGGCTCACTCTGCGATGTGGCTTGCTACAGTCTCCAGCTGTCTTCCACAAGAGCTGCAATGAGACATTTATTTATACTGAATAAATACCTAACTGAAGAAGAAGAGATCTTACAGCCTGTATAGCGGATGGACAAAAATAGGAAAATTCAGGGTGACAGACAAGAGCACTCCAGCTCATTTTTACATAGGAAATCATGGAGTTTGACATCGTCTCTTTGCCTGAGGGATGCCATGTCTAAGTATTGACTAAAACCTAATCTACCACTAACAATAAACTGCATGGCACGAAACACAGCCGAGCCGATCCTCCTCCTACCTCCTGCACACTTTCCTGCAACGAAGTGATGCCCTATTTCTACGGGATATCTAGGCCTCAGCTCCCCTCATTACTGAAAGACAGACTTCTTCACAGCATCGCAATTTTTGTCCAAATGAAACTGTGACATCAGAGCAGGCAACCATACCAGACATACACATGTGTGAGAGGGCCGGATGCACGCC